CAGTGTTATAGTGCTCACATCCCACTTTTATCATGTTTTTCAGGTCAGGATGTCGGGCCGGGAGCGTGAGATGACGGATGCCTCAGGACTTTTATGTTATGATTGTATATATATTTTGACGATATCACGTTTCTGCTGACTTTGATGTTGACGAACTTATCGTTTGATCAGATTTCGGAAAAATTTATGCTTTCAGTAAACCGTATGATTTTACTAAAAATTAAGATAACGGTTTTTCCAAAATAAGTCACGTTTGACGGTAGCACCCCGAATCAGTTTTCGCAAAGTAAAAGATTTTATTTTAAATAACTTTACGAAATTTTCGCACTCTGATTTCACAATAAGGCGGGGTGTTACAATTGGTATTAGAGCACGTTTCTGCGTCTCTGAAAAGTTTTTCAGTTAGTAATTTTCAGAAAAACCTGAACCGTCACGCTCACGCCCCGCCGACAACAGGTAAGTGCTGATTTATGTTTTCAGTTATAAACATAATACTTTGTCTATGCTCAGAAATTATGGATCATGACTTAGTTAAGATGCTCGAATCAGGATCAGACTTTAGAATTCAGGACATTCAGATATGACTCTAGAAATTAGTATCTTCCGATATGACTCTAGATTTCCTCAGGATTCATGTCAGTATTTATCGGCCATTTTTGGCAACTCGTCAAGAGATTTGTGTGCCTTAGTAATCAGTCAGAATATTATCACGTGTTCAATAACGTTCAACTTTCTCAATGTTCAGATGCCGCCCCGTAGGGAACCCGATCATCCGGCTCCTACTCAGGCCACAGTAGTCGCACAATTCCGCGACTATCATGCTGAAAAATTCTCAGGGCAGGGAGATCCCCGCATCGTAGACGAATGGATTCAGGGCCTTGAGTTTATCTTCGAGGTCATGGATTGTCCTGATAGATATCGCGTAGTCTGCGCTCACCTTCAGCTCACTGGCGATGCTCGGCTCTGGTGGAATGCCTACTGGAGCATGCGTCCCGGTGAGAAAGCGGGATGTACGTGGGATATGCTCAAGGAGCTAGTCCGCGAGAAGTACTACCCCACGTATTATCGGGCAGAGATAGAGCGTCAGTTCTTATCGCTCCAGCAGGGTACTCGTACTGTTGATGAGTACGAGAGAGAGTTTACTAGACTTGCAGCTTTCGTTCCGGACCTGGTTCGCATGGAGGCCCAGAGAGCACAGCGCTTTATCGACGAGCTTTACCCAGCAGTCCGTCACAATATTGTGGGCCACGGGACACAGACATATGCTCGTGCAGTTTCGATTGCCCATGAGGTGGACGCCAGCATTAGGAGGGAGGTTGTCCGTGATCGAGCCCAGCAATCCGCCCCAGTTCAGCCATTCACAGCTCCACCAGCCCTACCAGCTGCTCAGCCGGCAAAGGAGGAGAAGAGGAAGGGGAAGGGTGCACAGACTGACAGGAGGACCCGACAGAGACAGCAGCAGGTTCCACCGTGCCCGACTTGCAGACGACTTCACCGTGGAGAGTGCCACATGGGTCAGGACATTTGCTACTACTGCCACGAGCCAGGACATTTTGTGAGCCGCTGTCCGAAGAGACTTCAACAGCAGCCCCAACAGCCTCAGCAGCCACCACAGCAGCAGCCACGTCAGCAGGCGCAGAGGCCGCCTCAGCAGCAGCAGCAGAGGAGCAGACAGTAGGCCCGAGTCTACGCGGTTGATCAGGCCGAGGCAGCACAGCAGCCAGGTACTATGTCAGGGATGGTTGTGCTTAATGATATTCCTGTTTTCGCTTTGTTCGACACTGGAGCAACGCATTCATTCATTTCACGACGATGTCTTGATGCCATCGGAAGTCATGCCGTTACCGCTGTCGATCCTCTCGAGGTGAGTTTAGCCTCGGGACGAAAGATAGTGACCTCAGCTAAAGCTTCAGATTTTAGCCTTTCCATCGGTGGCCGGGTATTGTCTACCGACGCGTTTTTTCTCGAGATGAGGGATTTCGACCTTATTCTCGGAATGGATTGGCTATCCTTTTATCATGCAGATATCAGATGTCATGACCGGGAGATTATTCTTTATCTTTCGGGAGACGATTCGATCACTTTCTTTGGTTCCAGGAATCGTTCATTGCTTCACGTTGTTTCAATGGCGAAAGCTACTAAGTTACTGCGACGAGGCAACTGCCATGGTTATCTGGTGAGCCTTGTCGATGATTCTCAGAAAGCACGATCACCTCACGATGTTCCAGTTGTTCGTGAGTTTGTGGACGTGTTCCCAGATGAGCTTCCAGGAGGACCGCCTAACCGGCAGGTGGAGTTCTCTATCGATCTCATTCCAGGAGCCGGTCCCGTATCCAAAGCCCCATATCGTATAGCGCCGAAGGAGTTGCAGGAGCTTAAGGTGTAGATTCAGGAGCTATTACGACTCGGTTTCATCCGACCGAGCGTGTCACCTTGGGGAGCACCTGTTCTCTTTGTTAAGAAGAAGGACGAATCCATGCGCATGTGTATCGACTACCGGGATCTTAACCGGTTGACGATCAAGAACAAGTATCCGCTTCCCAGGATCGACGACTTATTTGATCAGTTGAGGGGAGCCTGTGTATTCTCAAAGATTTATTTACGATCAGGCTACCACCAGCTGAAGATTAAGGAATCAGATATCGCTAAGACCGCTTTTAGGACTCGTTACAGCCATTACGAGTTCGTCGTCATGCCATTCGGTCTCAGCAATGCCCCAACAGTTTTCATGGACCTCATGAACCGTATTTTCCATCCCTACCTCGATCAGTTTGTTATTGTCTTTATTGATGATATTCTCATCTACTCGAAGAGCCAGAAGGAGCACGAGGAGCATCTGAGGGTGGTTCTCGAAACCCTCAGACGAGAAAAGTTGTTTGCAAAATTCTCCAAATGCGAGTTCTGGCTCCAGCGAGTATCCTTTCTGGGTCATGTGATTACTCAAGCAGGTATCAAGGTGGATCCTTCCAAGGTCTCTGCTGTTCAGAACTGGTCGACACCGAGGAGTCCGTCCGAGGTTCGCAGTTTTCTCAGTCTAGCTGGCTATTATCGCAGGTTCATCGTGGGCTTTTCTAAGATTGCCCTCCCTCTATCCCAGCTGACGAGGAAGTCTGTAAAGTTCGAGTGGACTGACCGATGTGAGTCGAGCTTTCAGGAGCTCAAG